TTTATTTTAAAGCTTTCCATCAAACCAAATGAGATTTGAGTCAGGTCACTGGAGACAGAAAGTGGCCATGCCCAAGCAGCACAGCTGATTCTGACAGAATTTCTCCAAAGCACAGAATGTATTTCATTATAGTCTAGACTGGATGACAAAAACCACATTTCAAGTATCAAGTGGATACAGCAAGGAAAAAAGCATCAGATACATTAACTGAGTTATGAGGCTGACAACAGCCTGCATGCAGGTAAGTAAGTGCAAACTCCAAGCTCAGTTCCCCCTCCAGAGACCAAAAAGAAGTGGTCACTACCTCTGTTGCAGAGGTATAAATCTCAAAGCACAGTAGCAGGAGAGAAATACTCTGTTCCTGAGCACTTTGAAGAGAACTGGATGGCTCTAGATACACGAAAGCAATCCTAAAAAGTTCAAAGCTTATGTTAGCTTATGGCTTTCTCATAGAAACTACCTTGCATCCTATTGGTCAAAACCAAGAGACTTTCTGACTTCAGTCACAGCAAGATGTCCTCCTACATACATCTTTATTCCAGAAGTACACAATCCGTTTGTTAACCTACATGCCTACAGCACTGCAATGAAATTAAATATACTCTCCAGAAGGATAACGTTCTTCTGCAGCTTCTTATAACTTTAACAATTTCCATTTGTTTCTGCTTAAAATTTCCGTGTTTGCTTTCTGAATCAGACATTAAAAATATGAGCAAAAAATCAGATACAAGTTCCCAAAGACTGGAAAGGAAACAGAGACTGAAGTGACCTATGGTGCAGACAGTAGCAGGGCTAATATTAACAAGAAGTAAATAAGAATATCAAAGAACCCTACATTATGTCATGAGGACTTCAGCTCTGGCATGAGGAGAGCCGTAAGATGAAGCAAGAGAAGTACTTTTCACTACTTCCATGGAAACCCACTCAAATTCAGCTAACACAAAACACTGAATACAGCAAAAAAAATCTCAACAATTTAAAAAAAAATAAAAAGCTTTATTCAACGATGTTTAAGTTTTGAAGCTTTTTACAGTGACGGTGGAATGCAATGCACTACCTAAGGTAACACTCACATACTCAAAATTACATGCAGCTATTATCCCAGACATTCCCAAGCTAAAAAAACTCAATAAGATAGATGCAAACATTAATACCTCATGAGGTGATACAGGTCGTGTCACATTGAAGCTTTCTTCCACATCTGGAGTACCCACATAGATATTGAGGTACCTGTAATACAATTTCACAATAAGCTAGGGGCAAATATTTTTCAGGCAACCTGAAGAAAGCAAAATTTTACATACACTGAAAAATGAAATTACTTGATGAACACAAGTTGATTAATAATGAGCAATCGTTCTTCTCAAAGTAACTCCTTGTATTTGAGTTGTGGTTAAATAATAAAAATTTAGCCTCCATGTGCAGTAAACCTTTAAATATTCCCATCTTTCACTGCATAAAGAGATAAGTCACAGAAAACACCCTCTTGATTTATACCTACACAAGTGCTTACAAACACTTCAGAGCTGATAACAAACCCATGAGACAGCACTCATGCTGCTACTGATATGGAAATCATCTCATGCTTACTTCAGGTACCACATTGGGTCAGCATCACTTGTGACTTTTTCATTGGCCTTCATGATTTTCTTTATCTGGAGGAGAAAAAGAACAAAATGGATCCATGGCCTTTTCTGAGTGCTAAGAGCCACTCTCCCCCCACCCCAGGAGAGCCTACCTCGACATTGATGAAATAGTTGAATGAGTCTATGTGCTGCTTCACCAGTCCTTTCACCTGAAAAATAATGCACACAGCAAATAAAATCAGCCTCAGTAATGTTAATCACACAAGATGGAAATTAAGAGATAAGCATTTATAACTGGTTTTGAATAACTGTGCTAAATTCTTTCAGCTGACAAACTTCTGAGAAGTGGCTGGTTGCTCACTCTGGTTCTCCACTACATTTCCAAGCTTACACTGGAACTGTCATATAAAGAGCATGGACAGGGTCTCTGAGAGCCAGTAAAACGAAAATAATCTGGAAACATTACATATATACAGAATGGATTGAGGATAACCACAACAAAAGGCAAACCTCTAGGAGGATGTCTCCACAAAATAATCTGTAAATTAATCAAGAAGACAATCTATGGAACAAGTCTATTGGTAACTGCAAGGAACTAAAACAAAAGGCAAAATCCACAGGAGTGAGAACAGGTAGTCTGGGAAACAGTAAAAGCCAGAAGAAGGGAATGTAAAGTTAGAAAGGAGATGAAATATTCACACCATGAAATGAGTGTGTAGCACTAACCTTTAGAAATGCTGGAAGAAGTCTCCATTTTTCCTGAAAACAAAAAAACAGTTTGAAACATCTTTTCAAGGAGTAGCAAAATATCTAACATGCCTGAGCTTTTTGTCTGCATGTTTCATTGTTATTGTTGTTTTTTGAACAGTAACATTATTTTAAATCAGATCCATTTAGGAAAAAAAATCCAAAAAACAACAACAGTCTAAAGCCAAAAGAGATGTATTAAAACTACCTGGATCATCTCAGTAAACCATACATGCAGTGTTTTCTCAGGATGCAATGGCACACTGCTTTTCTTAAGAGCAGCTTATGTGAAAATATGTTTTTCTGAGACAATTCCTTAACACCACATCCTCATTTAAGATCAACTAACATTTTTTTTGGATTTGTTCTCTTAACACTGCAAATTATATTCCTAGAAAGGGAAGATTTCCTACAACTTTTACTTTACAAAATACATGCAAGAACCTGGGAGCAGCACTTATCTCTGTAACACTTATCAGGACTCTAAATCCTACAAAGATTTAGCAAAAGTACTGCAAGTGCTAAGTACATCACAGTTCCTACAAACTTTCCCCGATTTCTAATCTTTGATGAGCACAGGGAACACCTCTTTATGTCAGCCCCACTTTCTCCCCCCATGGCAGTGCAAAAAACTTGAATGTATCTTTGGCCGGAGACAAAATCCTTTTATTTAGGAAGAGTGCTCCCAGCCCTCATATGCTTCTCCATCTACTACAAAATTAATAACCAAAAAAAACCTGTAGAAAATTGTCCTTTTTGTTCTATCCACAGAAAAGCTGATGGTGCTCTCGGCTTTCAGCCTCCACTGCTGTTGTTTCTTAATCTACCGTACTTGCTTGTGATCCTCATTTAACCTCTAATAATGGCAAAGCCAATGAAGTAAAAAGGAACACATGCAGTACGGTGGCTTTCAATACTGCTCCTTCGTGGTTTATGTGCAGTGGCGTTTACAGTCTGCAAAGTTGAAGAGTGGCTGATTTCAGGTTTTTATCATTTAAGTGTTATGTCTAAAAAAAGGGGGTTAATCTGTTAAATAGTAACGCAATTAAACTGATGACCTAAGGAAGCGCCTAATGATGTTAATCTTAAGCAAATCCTGCAAGGCCAGGCTGGCAGGGGCACGGGGCAGCCGGGTGCAGGACACGAGCCGCGAGGCCCTTCCACGCAGCGCGCCCTGCGACTCTGCGTGCGGGACACAGCCGGGACAGCGACCGGGACGGCACGGCGCCTCAGGAGGGCCCGTGAGCGGCTGCCCAGGGGCAGCTCGGAGCACACAGCCCCCAGCCCACACACACACACACCGAGCGGCGCAGCACGGGCAGGGGGGACTCCACGTGTGCGCCGGCAGAAGACTCCTTCCACCCCACCCCAGCTCGGCTGAGCCCGGCCACACTCCAGGAGAGCCCGAGGCGCGCCCGGCCGCTTGCCCCTCGCCCCGCTGACCTCCACCGTGTTGACCGGGGCCGCCGCCTGCTCCGGGGTGAGCGCGCCCAGCCCCAGCGCCTCCATCGCCACCCGCCCACCGCGGCGCCGCAGCACAGCGCGTCCCCCCGCGCTCCAGCGCGGCGCCCGAAGGTTCCGGCCCCGCGCAGCCCGGGCGCCGCCGAGCGCAGCCGGGCGCCGGCAGCCCGGCCTTCCCTCTGCCGGCAGCCCGGCCTTCCCCCTGCTGGCAGCCCGGCCTTCCCTCTGCCGGCAGCCCGGCCTTCCCTCTGCCGGCAGCCCGGCCTTCCGCTGCTGGCAGCCCGGCCTTCCCTCTGCCGGCAGCCCGGCCTTCCCTCTGCTGGCAGCCCGCCCCGCCGGGGCACTGCGGAGCTGGCAGCGCCCGGGGGCCCCCCTGAATCCTCGAGTCGGTCACCGCCCCCCGCCGCGCAGCCGGGAGGCGGCAGGGACACGGAGCAGTTGGGCTTTAAACGGCTTTCCTGCAGTTTTCAGCTTGTAAAGTAAAGCGAGGCACCAGCTTTTACCGTTATTATTATTATTGTTATTATTTTGAATGCTGTAGCTGAATCACCTACAAATTTATTTGTTCTCCTTTACAAGGGTCGGTGGTACAAAGACAGCAAAATCGCAGATTTGGAGCTACTCATCTGCCCCAGTTCAAGATTAAACGAGAAGCACTAGTGATCTCTGCAGATTCCTGTGGCAGTAAGATATATATATATATATGTAAATATAACAATTGGTAAGTAAGTTCTAACAGACTGTGAAAACAGCACATACAGACGTCTGCCCGGGCTCAGGTTGCACATGAGTTACATTCACGGGGGTGGGTCTGGGCTCCACCCATCCCGGACACGAAGGCCCTACCCTAAAGAGGAGCAGCATTGCAGACTGCTTCCATTTGGTTTCCTGCCTAAAGCGCACAGCCAGTGGAGAATTCGTTTAATACGTGGCAATCCATGTTTAATCCATGCAAGGCCTCTCTCGGGCAAAGGGGGAAGCCTGGAGCAGTTTCTCACAGGAGTCACCCCTGCAATCCACTCCCCCTGCAACTCTGCCATGCAAACCCAGTACATCCTTCATCCAAATAGTCAGATTTAAGCAGACAACTGTTTTGAATATTATTTGTACAGCTGGGTTAAAGTCACTACACTGGAGCTGCTTCTGAGAAGTAACAGAAAAACAGTCACAACAGAATATTAGTGGAGTCATTTATCTTTGGCATTTAACAATCTGTTGCATTTAACGATGCTTGTGTAAATGACTTTTCACCACTGCTGGTATCACAAACAAAATTTAATGCATACAAACCCTCAAATACTTGATTTTTAACAAAGCTGCTAAAGAATGGCATCTTGTTTCACAAGGACAACTTCTGAGTAGAGAGAGGCAAGTGCATTTCAGGCACAGTAGCATAAATAGCATGCAACACATGACATTAAACAGATGCAATGTCCCTGTTTGAAACATGAAATTAAAACATATTAAACAATCACTTGAAACACAGGCCATGCTATAAAATGCCCTTCGCAAGTCACCTTAATCCCCACCCCCCCATAAATGCTATGCTTTGAGTACTTACTGGTAAAAACTAGTAGGACAGTTGTCCCAGCTCATTAAAGAGCTGAAGTTGGATGTTTATTTGTACAACAGAATGTATATAAAATATTACAATTAAAAGTTCATAATCATATTAGCAATCACCTTCAAATGTTCATAAAATTCTCTTTTGGCTGAAGCTCAAAATCATGTAAGTATTTCTATTGCAGAAAATCACTAAGATTAATTCCCTCTAGCTGTTTTTGAAATGCATTCCTCTCTTAATGATTTTGAATTGCCTACCAAAATTTCATATTCATCTGAACAAGCCTGGCTTACCTAGTGGCACAGTTATGATAATCTAAGAGTTCCTTTCTCCTAGGTTTTCCAGGAAACTGTTCCCTTTAAAATATGTATTCATCTTTATTTTATGCAATGTTTTCACAGGGGACAGAAGACAAGTGCACTAGAGAAATTTCTCTAAAAAAGGCATTTTGAAGAAAGTTTTCCTTAACATTTACATGTGACCAAAGACCTTGGACACTGAAGAAAAACTGAATAAAGTAATTTCCTTTGCTATAAAGGGTACACATTCCTGTAGCAATGCACTACAAAACCACAGTGCTAATAATGCCCAGGTTTTTTAGACCTTTATGATAGACACAGTAATGTACATAAACAATTTGTGTGACACATTATGCTTTTACAGGTTATTTTTGTCTCTTCATAAAAAATAGGCTGTAATATAAAATATTAAAAACAAGCTCTAACTTGTACCACACCAAGGTTTTCCATATATGACATCTTAAAAGGAGTATTATATGGTAATATATTAAAATATAATTTTCAAGTAAATTATCAGTTTCATAGACAAGAACACGTCTATAATATGTACTCCAGCACTACTTAATCCCAGTAATCTGAAATATGCAAGATAAAGCCTGTGTAAACTTAAAGAAGTTCACTTTCACATTTCTCTATTTCAATCCTATTCATTTTCTGTATGCAAGATTTCCAATGCCTTAAATGGGAACTAAGTATTGGGGCCCAGTCCAAAGAAATTTGAGGAAAACAGGAGCATTTCTCACGCACTCCGTAAAAAAGTGAATACAATAATATTTTCAAAAATTCCTAATTACTCAGGTTCTTGCTTCCAGAGCTAAGAATATCCTGTGAAAATTTTACATTCTGTTGGATAAGGGCATGAAAGGGGCACTTCTTCTGCAGTACACTCTAAGGTCAGGGTTAAGTGCTTTTGGGAATAAAGGTTAGAAAGACCCAACTTAAAAATACTTAATACCCATCCATTAAGATCAAAGATCAATACGTACACATATTAAAAATTCTGTATGACCTCCACTGAATAAACAAAATGCTTATAAACACATTAATTATATACAGAAATTTACTCCACCCCCAACATCACGTTTCTCAGGTGTTTATCATTAATCTCAAGTAGAGTTGAGAAGTTCTGAGTGATTCATACTTGAAGTGGTGAATGCTGCTTCTGTAACAGCTATCCTACAAACAGTTTGTAACACTGGCATTCCTTAATGTAACAAGAGGCAAAGTCCTGGGTCCAGTAATTGCAGAAGTACCTGCACTTGGCCTGGTATGAACCTGGGTTTGGTTACTAAAGCAGTTATGCCATACTGTCTTCTTCAAAGTATTCTCAGAAACGTAATTGTTGTCCGAGATGCTACTCTACAAAAATACAATGTAAGCATGGTACGTTTTATCTACAGTTTTGTCATTTCCTAATATGCACTGCTATATGTAAATATATTTGAGTTTAAAAATAACATTGTTTTGATGGTGGCAAAACAGTAATTACATTGCCAGCTCTTTCCCACTACAAGTCATAATAAATGCTTGCTATGGAAATTAATAATTCACTGGCTATTACAAGTGACAATCCATTAAACAAATATTTTTCTATTAAAATATATATATGACCTTGACATTAATTTCTTTACAGTGAATTTCCAAAACTATCTATCTGCATACATTTAACAAGACCTTTCCCCATCAACAGTCACTGGAGTAGGCTGTTCTTAGAGATGTGACTTCCCCACTGTCTTGGAAGATGAAAAAAAGGGCACATTTTTTAATTGCTCGATGTTTCTGCTTCTGTTTTCTCCATTGCTGCCTCAGGAAAAAGCAGTTTTCTAAGTATATTTGCATAGAATGGTCCATACACTTTTTTATTGAAGTTTACAATGCTTGCATACTGAGATCCCAGAAATTCTATCTCTGTCTGAATCACAGAAAGGCCTCCTGGCATAGTAGGCATACACTTCTGAAAACTCGGAAGAGCAAGCAAGCTTCTCATGAAGAGCTGGATTCGTTTGTCTGAAATGGAATATAAAGTATGCTCAGAACAAATGTAAACCCAAGATGATGCCATAGTCACTTTTTAAGTACCCTGAAAACCAAAAATGTAAGCAAGAACTCCTTCCCAAGATTGCTTTGGAGTGGAAAACAATACTGTAAGCTTCTTAAATTTGGCTACTGCAAGGTGGACACAGCATAAACTTACTGCAACAAGTTACATTAACAAATATGAAGTACACTCAAAGGAAAGAAAAAACCACAGTAGGTTTAAACCCAGGATGGACAGAAAGAAGACTAAACACTCATTTTATCTAAATTCTTCTCCAAAATACTAGGCTGCCTAGCCTTGTCTCTACATGCACTTTGACAATTATTTCCAGCTGTGACTAACCATGCTGTGCAACATACCCAGAATACCATTTCCAAGTAAACACCATATCCTTAGTCTTAGTTGAGCCACTATTTTACTGCAGTAAGAAAATACTTTTAGAAGATAATGAGACAGCTGATTAAGCTTGCTGGAAGTTTATAAACAGACACATATAATATGACAATTAGGTAGTCTCTTACTAACCAATCAAGGAAGAGACAGGATTATTCTTCTCAACAATATGAGCGACTTGACCCATTAAATTACTCTGCATTTCTTCACTAAGAGTGGGAAGACCTCTTTCACTTAGAGACTTGTTCACTATGCTGCAAATCTGGACGCCAATAGCATTCAGAGCCTCCTTCAAGTCAAAACTTCTGGAAGAAAGAGAAAAGCATTACATTCTGCAGTTTCTGTAGCATTGGTTGTCTCCCTTCCCTTTTATTTTCAGCTTGGTTTTCACAATGAGAATTTTGAAAAGTTATCTTTTGCTGCAGATTTATATAAATCTACATATACAGAAGATAAAACAAAGACCTAGCTGTGATTCAAATGGGAAAAGTAATTTCACGTGTGCAGCAGTGACACCAGTTCACTTTATCCTTGTGCCTAGGTGTTTTTCTGGGCCACCTGCATAGCATTTCATGAGAAAAAAACAGAGTAGAAAATTCTTTTAAAAGACAGTCACAGACATCAGACTTTGCAAGCAGCCAAAGAAATAGGCAGCCAAGCAACTTGAACTACCTACAACAAGTTTGAAGCAACTCCCAAGAGGATTTAGTGAATGTACTGCCACAATCTCTCCAGTATTAGGAGTGTATGAATGAACTTTACTACTGGGTTCCAAAATTTGTACATTAACATCAAAACTAAGATTTCATCAAAATCTACTTTTGAAAATATGTGTCTAACATATAGTGCCCTTGTATCATAAAGAGAATACAGAAATGATTAAAATTTGGTATCTTCCTATTAATAACAAGCACCAGCTATGACACTAGAATTGTTTCCAATTATGTACTGTCCAAAAAAGAGTTTTATAAAGGAGTAAAAAAAAAGGTCTTACTTCTTATTCATGCCTTCAAGAAGAGGAAGGGAGATCCTTTTCAGCTGGTCAGGGAAATCAGGCACATCTACAATTGCTGCACCCACCATGTTGTTTGTTATGAGAGAAACACAAGCTATGACTTTCAATTGATTGAGCTTTTCTCTCAACTCCTGAAGACGGACTTCGTCTGTTATTAGAGTCTAGAATTGAAACAGTAATACTAATTTAGGAATAAGGAGGGAGAGAGACAGGAAAAGGACAGATCTAGGATGTAGTCATGAAGCACTACTATTTTTAATCATAAATATGCAAACCCAGAGGAGACAGCAACTAAAATACCCTAAAGATGTAGTATAATATAAAGTGGCATTATGTACAAGTACCAGAAGTAAACCTGTGGCGGGAAGAAAAGTAATGAGGAAACTGAGGACATTGCACCTTATTCCTCATCACTGCTGACAAATTTGTAACCAACAATTCAGTCCACAACATGGAATGCTCAGAAGATCCAGAGGACATTGTAATGACCAAGTAACAGACAGAACAGTCTTCTGGATTTGGGTGTCTTTTGAAAAAGTGCCAAGATTTGTAACTGATGGATAATAAACAACTGTGCTTGACAACCACCAATTCAACCACCAGAGCAGGTTCTGCAAGTGATACATAACCCGCTCCAGGCAAAAAGCCAGCTCATCATACCAAGAACATAAATAATCCCCACAGCAAGATGTAGCTGGAGTTCATTTTAGGTTACAAAGAGTTCATCCTGAGCAGCACAGGGTGTAGCAACTGCAGTTGGTAGCAATTTCATAGTATGACAAGCTAGATCTACCAGAGGACATCTGTATTTAGATCTTACTCAAAAGTTCTGAGAAAGAAAGGTAAGAAAGTGGTTTCCCTTCTGTCTGCTGATTCAGAACACCAAGAGCATCCCCATGTATTTAACAAATTCTCTGCCAGACCATCCTACATGTAGCTAAGGCCCTCTGGAAATGCAAATTTTAGCCCTGACTGCTGACAAATTTCCCACTGGCTTTATGGAAAGTTGCAGAGGTCAGTAATCAGGAATTGGAGTGAAAAACAGAACACTGAGTCTTGAAGCAATAGTTTACACTGAAAGGAAAAGTACCTACTTTAGAGAACTCAAGTTTTTTACTGATTCTGTTCTGAGGAGCAATCCCACCAATTCCTGCTGCTGTTAGGAAAACAGAGTGCTGCAATCAGTTCTTTTGAAGATAGAGAAAGTCAAGTACTGTCAATACAAGGCCCAGCCTTTGACCACAGCCAAGACTGCTCTTAGGGTGGAGGTGGTGAGCTATGATTGGAAAGAGGAAGAACAACCTTTACCTTGTTCTTTTCTGCTTCTTGACTTGCCCATCTCAAATTTCAGAATCTGGACTAGAATATAAGCTCCAAATTTCAGATTTACTGTGCAGAAATTTAAGGAGTGCAAAAGAGTATTCACTTACTGTCATCAATAACAGGATTATTGTATCACACCAATGATTTCATATAGCTGGTAATCTGAAGACACCAAAATGTATTTCTTACCTCTGGAATTGTTTTGCAATAATCCCACTGTAACAGTTTCAAGTAGCCATTGTTTAGCACCAGTGTAGGACTAATAATTGGTTTTGAACTATTATCAGCACCAGGGGATGATGAAGACGCATCAGAAACAGATGACAATTCATCTTGTATTGATTCTTTTATCCATTCTGTTGTGAGATTCAGGGCACCTACATTGCAAATAGCACAGATTTACTGCATGCCTTCATCAAAATGAGCACTACCTTGAGAAAAAAAAAATTGTATACAGAAGAGAATTCAACTTCTGAAGACTTTAATATAGTGGACAGCTGAGTCTTCACAAATGGTAGATCTCTCACTCACTTTTTTCCACCGATCATCTTCCACTGGTCACCAGTAAATTCTACCTGGTGTGTACAAACCCAGCCACAAAGTGTTAAGACTTCAGACAGGATTTTTAGGTAATAGAAGTCTCAAATTGTGAGTTCCCAAAGGATTGTTTTTGGAGAGGCCATTATCGGATAGGGCATAAGACTAAAACGTAGAGGTGAAGGAAGATTAAAATATTTGGTTCTGGTAGAGTTTTTCTCAGGCTGCAGAAATGAACACTGCAGGCCCTATCAGTGGCTCAGTGCTCCCATTTTAGAAGCCCCTGCTCCAGATGCTAGCACACTCACTTATTCTTCTTGGAGGATATATTTCTGAACACTGTTTAACCAAATCACACAAAACATGTAATAGTGGATCAAGTTGACTTTGCATCATCTAAGAAATTTTGGTCAGAGCCTGCTTCTTGTTTATTAAAAAATAGATCTTAGCCCTTCCAGCTTTCATGCACACTAACTGGTTTTACATGTTTACTTCACACTAACAACAGAACAGTTGCACACAAAAGAGAAAAGTCTCAACTTATGCAGGGCTTCTGCATCCAGACAGCAAGAGTCACCACTTGTTTGTTTTTCAGACACTATCCAATTCGGCAAATGTAAGTTTGTCTGAAAGTGTCTCAGATTATAGGCAGACAAACTTGACAGCAAGTTAAACAATCATCCAGTGATAGCTTGCTTGTCAAAAAATTTTCCCATTACATACATACAGACAAGAAACTAAAGTTTTCCTCTAGTTAACTGCAACTTGTAGAGTTTTCACAGCATGTATTTAAATAGGCTTCTTTTCAAAGAATAAATATAAATTTAATATAGTGTGGTACATACTTGGTGTTTCTTCAAGAATTTCCTGGAATTTTGTTCTTTCATAGTCCACCAAGTTATGCCAGAGGTATGGTCTAAGGCTTTTAATTGTGTAATTTGCCATATCCACTTTCATCAGGTCCAAAACGTGGAATATTTGTCTGAAAGGAGGAGTTTAAAATTTCACAGTTTAATTTAGTCTATTGATTTTCACCAGCACAAGTGAAGCACATGTACATTATCACTTTAATTTCAATTTTGGAGAAGTGAATGCCTTCACTGGCATTTCAGAGTAATAGACATGTTACTATCATCTGGAATTCCTGAAGGAGTAGTATATATAAGGCTTGGCCTAAGTTAAAAAGCATCACTAAATGCAACAGCCCTGTAACTTTTTGAAAAACTACATGAATGGGTATATTTCAGCCTAAATTAACAGATTTTAACTTTTTAGTCACTGACTGCACTAAGAGAAACAATCCTTCTGACCCAATTGTTTTGATCCCCATATATATACACAGTAGAACAACTACCATTTAGTCTTAATATTTCAGCATACCTCAGGAGCACTGTTTTCTGCCCTGTTATGCAAATATTTTACTCAAGTTCAAGTAATAAGATCTTAACTAAAGAGTTTTTAAATCCAAAGTTTGGCCTTCCAGAAGAAGCATGAAATTAACACTTCAAGAAGAAACAGTACAAGTGTGCTGCCTACATTTTGTAAGAATGAACAAGACAGAAAAGAAGAGTTTCTGAAACAGAGATTATTGCAAGAGTTGTTGGCTTAGATAGAGCTGCCTGGTTTCATCTAGGTATCCTACTCATTTCATTACAAAGTGAGATAAACAGTCTGGTCAGTGTGTCAGAGCTCTTCCCCTTTAATGCTTCAGGAAGTTCTCCTATAGTTTGAGAACAGGTGTTATGCAAACTGACACAACTTTAGACTTCCTTTACCCAGCCCCCCGCCTTCCACTGTCTACTACCCTTTCAGAGAGGAGTTTTTTCTCCAAAAACCACACTCAAATACCAACCTCAGTAACTCTACAATATTGTCAGTTGCTTTTAACTGTTTTATGTCATTGTCTCTTATTGGAGCACACAACTTTCCCATAGTGTTGATGACATAATTAGCTAGCCCAGGAATATCAACAGCATTGTGTTCTGCCTGCTGTCTTATAAGATCCGTATCAAGAACTTCACAAATTTGATTGTGAATCCTGTTTGCTCCAGGAGTCAGGAAGGAAAGAAGAATCTAAATTAGAGGGAGGAAACAAGAAAAAGCGTATCAATAAAGACCAAAACATTTAGAGGCTGTGTGAAAAAAAAAAAACAAACCCTAACTAGTACAGTTTTGCAAAAATGCTCAAACCAATAAAACAAAAAGCAAGTCAACAACTAGACCCATTCAAAAGCTGGGAGGCTGCCCTGTAAAATAAACATTTACTAACTTAAAGTTCTGAAAGACTTAGTATTGTGCCAGGATTGAAGGTCTGTATGCTCACCTGTGCAATAATCAAACAATGAAGTCTAAGTGGGCAGGTGCAATCATGTTTATACTGCTGTTCATGCCCTAAGCTCACAGTATGGTTCTGCAAACAGGCTAGCAGAGATGTGAAGCTTTGGGAAAAGAGATGACTTGCAACTGATCACTGTGTAGTGAAAGTTGAATGAACATGCCACTGTCTGTTTGTGGCCATATTCCTGGTTAATATAAATATACTACAAAGAGACGTCTATTTTCAGTTCTGGATAATCATGGCTTCGTATTATAAAAGGAAAACCAGAAGGTGTTGGCTCAGCTAAGTTAAGCAGACCCTTCAGTGAGTTCAGGGACTCTTAAAGCTAAGCAAATAAATACAGAGAAGGAAGAACATTACCTCCTTAATTTCCTCAAAGAGCTTGATAGCATGTTTGTATTCTGGAGGATCTTCATTCAGTTCCGATTCCAAATGATCCCAAAACGCCTTGTGCACGATTTGTTTCACTGTGCCTGCAAAGCTGTGGAGCAAGTCAGTTAGATACTGAGAAGACTCCCAGCCAGCTTCCATCCTTGTAACTGTTTCAGATGAGACTGATCACTTGTTGGGAAACACACCTCCCCAGATACTATCCCCTGCAACCACATTTTTCTTGGATGGTGGATCATCAGGTCCCAAAACACAGTCTAGATTGCTCCATTCATTTCTCCTCTCTTTCCAACACCAGTGCTGCTTTTTGCAAAATTCAAGCTCTTACCTATTTTGTGGGTACTCTTCATGTTTTATGCAAAAATTTGCATTTACAGCAATTTCATGAGCTAGAGTCCAGTTTGACAGATTTCTTGTAGCTGCCATCAGCTCATCAAATGTGATGACCTTGGGAGGGCTAGCTGCTGGAACAAACAAGATCAATTCAAGCCATATATCTATAGCTGATAAGTGCAATTGAATATACTAAAACCTAAAAATTTTACTGCTTGCTAACTGGACTCCAGTACTCTGGAAGAAGCAACCCAAGATTACCAAGTCTTTATATCTTCCTAAAACACTAACTCAGGAAACTCCCAGCTTATCAGGGGTGTGTGTGTTTGTGGGGAAATACCAACAAGCCTCAAAACATTTTGAGGAGCATTTTCATATTTCCACGTGTGAACTAAGATATCTTTTTTCCCTTAAAATGGGATCTTGCATTCCACAGATTTTCTACTAACTGTTCTGTCAAAGCCACCCAACCAAAAGCATGGACAGTAAGACATACCAGATGCCTACTATGATTCTGCAGAAGATGGCCATATTGCTTGTTGAAAAGGTTCTGAAGTTACTGACTTGCAAACCCTTCCCACTTAAGATCAGCAGATCTTCAGTCTGCCGTGGAATTAAGTTATGCTCATTTTTTTAGGAGTTTGCAGCAACAACAAGACAAACTCTACACTGGAAAACAAGAGCAAATTCCCAAAGTTTCCAAATCCTTAAATTCTATAATTTAATTTAGTATTTGTAAGGCTGGTAATAAAGAAAGACAAAGAACCAGCTGCCAGCTGCAGCTCCACTAACAAGCTTGTTTTAATGTAAGAATTTACATAGATGTAAGAAGTAAGCATGGTCTGCAAATGCTTACAGACACAGAGAAACCACATTATAACCAAGGTTTTATTTACCATTGCTCAAATTATCCTCCTTGTGCAAATGTGTGTTTTCTGTTTGACTCCAGTCAAAAGAAAAGAAAGAAAAATGTGAATTAAAGATTAATTACATGTAACTTGGTATGGTATTACAAATCTGTAAGTTACAGAATTAATTTTTAAATGCAGGGATCAAACAGAAGAAACCCACCCTTTGCACAAAAGCATATCTGGTTGAGTGGGAGGCTGCTACCAATGTCAAGGTTAGGAAGACCATGGTGACACACTTTTCTTACACTTTCTGAAGGGAAGGAGTGCACAGGAAGACCCCCATGGATACAGCTGCTGCTGGTGTTCCACACACAGGAGATGCACTGCTTCACAGCAGAGAGAAAGCCATGCCTCTCTGTTAATACTCTTAAACAGATTCAGAATCCCAGGTTCTACCCATAACAGCAAAGAGAAACAAGGTAAGTTAGCCTTATTGGTCCATGCACAATGCAGGTAAGGCTGAAATAGGCTTACATGCTGGGGAGCTGGGTTTGCTTGAAGAATCACTGTTAAAACTCTGCCTGGAATATTCTGAGTCACTGGAAGAAGCTGTGCTTTCCGAGAGCCGTGAAGAATCTGAGTCACTGTTCTGGTCATCACTGAGAGGCATTCTGATTCCCTTTACCTTGTTTACACAGTAAACAAGACCTGGAAAGACAAACACAATTCCCATAAAACCAGCACTTACTTTTGTTTGTTTCTCAAAGTCAGCTACTGATAATTATATTGTGAATGAAGATCAAGTAGTTGCCTTTCCTAAACAGGAAAAGCAAAGGAAAGGATTTGGCTTGACATACAGAATCATAGTTATCAACAAACTACACCTGTTCTGTAAGAAAGCTTTGTACCTTCAGCTGTTTCATACCTTAATGATTCTGTGGGAGACAGTCCCTAAATTTGGGACGTTTTAAAAAATGAAAGACTACCCACAGGAACCCCTGAAGCTACTTGTTGCAAGAATTGTGGTAGTTTTCAATGTCCATAAAGGCATTTGGTGATGCCACCATCCCCCACCTGACCTGACAAAGAAGTGGTGTTTAGCAATCAGTTTCCTTCCACAACCAGGCTGCACCGAGTGCAACGACTGCGAAGCAAACACAAAAGTTGCAGGGGGAGAACAAGCAAGTAATTTAGAATATTACATTTCTGACAAGGTGTAGCTGAAAGTCTGGCCTTTAGGTAGGTCTGTGCTCAGAATCAGATTAACAATGGCACAGACCCAAAAACCAGTCCTCCTAGGGGTGAAGGTAGGTGGATAGGTTTCCTGGTTTAAGTCAAATGGCGACTCTGAGCCTCTAACATTCTATTTAGCAGAGACAACAACCTCCACTGACAAGTGTTGTGCTTCATAGTGTTTGTCTATGTAAAGAAACTGCCTCCCAGGCAGATAATCTGCAATTGCAGAAAATGTGGACAGCTGCACAGTGTGATACAGATGATTAACAACTGCATGACAGGAAGTGAAAAATATGTTCATAGTAATAATATTAAAATGAGAACCTGGAAGTCCACTGTAATTACTACCAAAGGAATTTGGCCCAGATACCAAAAGTAGCTGTCCATCTCTGATTATGGCCATGAAGCATTCTGTAGTGGACTTCATGAAGTGACATAGGCAGCAATGGTTTCCATCAGCAAATTTAACTAATATATAACTTCATTTATTATTAAATCACACCAACTTCAGTAGGCAGGGAATACTACACTTTGCAACTGCTGAATTTGGAAAAAAGAACTTTGAGCAATAAAAGGATGATCTTTGTCTGTACTAATGTGAATCAACATACTGTGGAGTCCTGGGATAGACAAAAGGTAGTGAAAATTAAGATTTCCTTATACTGGCACCTAGCTACTGCTTAAAGCATTTGACTTTTTGGGTACGAACTCATCCTGAATAGGCCTTTATAACTTGATGAGCTACTACACTGATGAGCACTCCCCTGTAATTGAGATGATTAACATTTCTTAAGTGTGTGTTTACTCTTCCTCCTCTCCCAAGAGGAAAGAGGATGCACTTGAGCATCTTATTGATGTCATACTTTACACTGGGGTTTTTTTTTGTGAAAAGAATTGGTCACATTAGTAAGAACACAGCTAACAGTTTATCAGTGTACTAGAGGAGCCAGTAAGAGACACTTGACTAGAACACAGAGGACACGCATTCAAAACTTGCGACTTTACCTGTGATCCTAAGCATCATAACTCTTATTAGACCAGCAATTTTATAATTTCTACCAAGCAAATATTTAAAACAGTATTGGCTAAACAAGACAGAGTTGCAAGAGAACCTAAAAAACCCCTAAACACATTTTGGCTTGGAAATTGTATTTAAGTTACAATTAGAAATGGGTCACTAGTTAATGCTAGACTAGAGAAGAAACAAACTATTTCTTCAATTAAAATCTGTGTTACAGATCTCAAAGTTAGTGATGATCAGAAACTAGTTGTCACAAACTAGGTATAGAACATACTTGAGGTTCTTCATGTTGAACTGCTCACTTAAATACAGCAACACTGTACAGAGCCTGCAAAGTTTTTATTACCCTCCAACTAATTTTTTAAATCAATATAAAAATACTGTATTTCCAGACTTTAGTCTTGTATAACACCCCTTTATTTCCATACAAATAACTAACCTCCAAAAGATTAATGTTGCAGGACGTGGTCCATCAAAGGATTTGATTAATGCTGTTCACAGTGTAGTGGCCCAAAGTCTTGCCAATCGCTTGCCGAGTGTGAGCAATTCACCGTGCGGCTACTGCTTCAGTTCAGGTGTTAACAACATGGAAGAAGGTAAATGAACATTAAAATCCCAAACACTGTCACACAATTTACACATCATCATTTCATGAACTTCCTCTTACCTCTAGATATGACAATGTTAATAAAAATTCAACTTTGCAAAGTCCTTCTGAGAGAAGCACTAAACCAGCCATGAAGGCGAGTCAGCACTGCCATTTTCCACCCCATCTTGATTTCCAAGAAGATCAAGTGGTTAAGGTGGAATTAGAAGTCTATATACATTAAGTTCTTAAGCACTAGTCCCAGCAAAGGATCAATGTAAATTGTTGCATTTCAAAGATGCACATGCATTTTGATGTATCAAGACCATACCTGCTCCTACAATACAGGCACACATACAGACAGCAGAGCTGTCAGAAGAGTGCTTCAGAAGGCTTAATTTAAGTAAGAAGTTTCAACACTGCAACAGGAGGTGACACACACAAAAAAAAACACTGCAATATTTTGCCACACTAAATACATTTCCTAGTAGAATGCTTCAAGCACAATAGGAAGTAAGAATGAGTGTACTCTGCAGATTGAGAACATTATTGCTAAATTCTACGTTTAAAAGATAAACACATCAAACTAAACATATGTGAATATACAAGCAGAACCTGCAGGGGCCATCTAAAACACTTATGCAAAAATACAGTCACTGAGCCTATGAAAGGTAAGTACAAACCAAAAATTACATTTCTAATTAGTTACAACAATAGACAACTGAGTCACTTAGTCTTTGCTTTATAGCATACACTGGAAGAGCTGATTTTCCTTACATTTTCGTAGATAGCACAGTTCTCATTAATAACTAATGGCCAAGTTCATTTAGAACTTTAAATTAGTATAAAAATATGTCAAAAAGCCCTTCAGCCTTGCAAGATCACTTTGTAACTCACCATCTTGGATAATCAATACCTTTTTTTTTAATTTACTTATTAATTATTACATATTAGGCTGTTGTTTTAACACACATATTAATATCCCAACCGTTCTATTAAAGGGTCAGCCTGAGGTTACAACCTGCTTTACTCTGCTGCATTAAAGACTACCCACATTTACATTTATATTAGGTTGGACACCATCACAGTGGGCTTCATCACACCATTTGCTTTCTTTCAATCAATACCATACTGTAGGGTTTTTTAAGGACAAACTCTTTGGAAGACCAAGCTAAAAGTATCTTCTACATACACCAACCCAAGATTCCAGCTAATTTAACAATGAAGAAATAAATTCTCACATTTCTCCTATTTAGACAGGTGAGGATTATTCTTTTTAGTAAAAAGAAAATCAATACAAAAATGTAGATGCTTAAAGGCATCTTGTTCTTAACTGGTTACTGCATCACCCGACTCGATTCTTCATTTAGAACTTATCAAGACTGCAAGATCAGGTTAGTTTTAGAAGACACACCAAAACATTTTATTTCTGTAGGTTTGCTTTAGAAGTTATTTTACGAAGCACCTGGGGGGAGGAGGGAGGAAGACAGTTTCACAGTCGGGTATTTTCTTCAGATACCATCTCCAAGCAAAGGTTTTCCACAGCCCTGCTTTGTTCAAAGGAAGTGTGCATGGACACAGAGACTTATGAGTGCTCTGTCCAGTTTTACCACTATGAAAGTCTTAACTTTGTTTATTCTGCTGGGTTCACATTCGTACTATCTTCAAGCTGGCACCGACTGAATCTCATTTGGTCTCGAGTTTCCCTTTCACTGACTCCACCTCTGTCAGCACTCACGACATGAGAACAGAAAAGAGCCTTTGTTAAGAGTTACTTGCATCTCCTCCCGCCTCATTTTTCACAGCTCACAGCCGACTTTTCTTCCCTTTAGCTTTCTAATTCCACAGCTCTTGGAAGAGACACTTCTCTTCGTGAAGAGAAAAAACTGTCCTGGCGAGAGTGAGATGCGGCCGAGTGCCCCGAGCGCTGCCCGCGGGAGTGACCTCCGCCCGGACAGGTCGGTGACGGGACCGGGGGCCGCAGCCCCGAGGGGAGCCCGGGGACGTCCTGCCCGCTGCGCTCCCCCGCGGGGGGAGCGACACCGAGGGGAGCCGGCGGCTCCTCCTCTTCCTCCATCTGTTTCGCTGCCTGTCTCCTCCCCCGGCCCCATGTTTTTAACACTTAGCAAAGGCAGGAGTTTGGCACCCTCCGACCAAAACAAACAGCGTTTCCAAGGACAGGCCCGGGGGGAGGGAGTCCGGGCGAGAAGCAAGGAGGGAACACTCTCCGTCAGCCCCAGAGAAGGCGAGCCGGGACACCCGCCCCTAAGCGCCCCAGCCCCCATTCCCCGGGGAGGTCTCGGGGAGCCCCTGCCCTGCTGACCGGGGCTGCAGGGGGGGACCCTGCGGCTGCGCTCGTCGGGGCGGATCGTCCCGGCGGACACTAAGGGATGGCGAAAGCCCTGGAGACACGGGGCAGGGAGAGAACTACGGACCCAGTGCAGGAACTGCGAAGCCCACCGGCTGCAGCGGGTACCCCACCGGGGCAGCAGAGTGACGGGCCAGTCCACCACGTCCCTGCCACCCACACCGCACAGGAGGGTGGCAGCTCCCGAGCCAGCACTGTCCCGGACTCACCCCGCGACTCATCGCCCTGCGTGCCCGGACACCCCGCCGCGTGTCAGCTCCGCTGGCCGGCGGGAGCAGCCCTACCCTGCCCTGCTGTCCCCAGCCGGTCACTCACCGCTGGCCCCCGCCGTCTTACGCAGCGCTCGCCGGGGCCGCACACATTCACCCCCCTCAGATTTAAAGACCCAGCCCGGACTATTAGTGTCTTCCTCGGGCACGTCCATCTCTGATGGTGGAAGCGGGGAGGTGCGTCATCTTTTCCTGCCTGTCAGCGGCGAGTTATCCGAGGCGCTTGGGCCTGCCTCCGCTTATGCCAGTAGAAACTGTCTGCATCTCCTCATTCCGCCTGCGACCGGGCACTAAGCCTGGGGAAATATGCGGGGACACGGGAAGAGGTTTCGGCGGACTCCCCCGCGCTGGCAATGGGCCGTGCCGGCGTGCGGGGGGTAGGCCGGGGGACGGGCCGGGTGGTGTTTACGGAAGGGCCCCGTCCGTCCGGGCCGGCGCCGCCCCGGCCCCGCCCCCGGGATGGGAACACCGACCCCACGGAGCCCGAGTGTGGGGGAAAGGGGCTGTCATGTGCAGGGGGTGGGGCTGCGCCCGAGGCCGTGTGTGCCTGCCTTTGTGCACTGCGCTGCAAAGGGAGCTATAACTACGTTCCTGCCCTGGTTTCCTTACCCTGTATATGGGGGGTGGGTGTAGTGTGGTGCCCCTCCACGCGCCATCTTGGCTCCCCACCGCCACCCCCGCCTCCGCAGCTTCAGGGGAGCCGCTCGGCCCGTGCTGAGTTTAGTCACCCGCCCAGCTCACGGCTGTGGTGTCCGGAGCCTGCTGAGCGCCCACTGAGGAACGCAGCACTATCATTATAAATGCTTTGCTTATGGCTGTATTGACCTCATGCCCCGGCAGCTTCACGCACCCACGGGGCCAGCAGTACCTGTCAGGGTCATCACCTCTTCCTGTCACAGAAGCTACGTGCCACCACTGCCTCACCCACACGGAAGCACGGAGGGCAAAACACCGGCGATCGTCTCTGAGGCAAGAGCTCACTAACACGCCAGCCTTGGCCATCATGAAGGCAGAGCTCCTCTTCCTGCAGATAACCTTTAGCACACGTGGTGAACTACACGGAACACATGATGTATTCGGGTAGACCAAAGCACACTGTAGGTCCCATTAACCTCTACTGTACAATCAAGGGCTCGAAGCAGGGAACAGAGTTTGGCTACACAAGTGCCAAGTGCCCGGCTGGAGAGGGAGCACTTGCTTGCAGCGATGCAGAGCACCTGTCAGCCCGGCCTTCAGAGCCATTAAATGGGATTAAGTCCAACAGCCTAATCCGGTAGCTTCTATAAAGAAGATGATGTTTTAAATAACGATATTTGCACTACTTTGCTCCACTTTGTGCATGTCACATGGCAATGACAGTCTGAAAGAGGTTTGAAAGGGCTTTGGAGAAGACTGTAATAATATACAGATGGGTTACTTTGTACAGAACTGTTATGACTTCCAGGGACATAATTTATTATTATTTTTACATCAATTTTTGCTTAGACACCATCTGAAATATGGGGAAAACACGAATTTTTGCTGTGATGGCTGCTGACACCTTTTATTAACCAGCTAAAACTGCACAAAGAGTACTTTGAAAAACACCAGGGACAGTGTTTCAGGCTCCATTTTGTGGAGCTCCATTCTCTGTGGACTTGTGGAAAGCTGTGCTGCTCAGTGACCTAGCTTGCACAGGGAGGGAAAGGGGCCAGCCTCACCAAGTGAAGTAGCTTCTAAATACTGATATGAAAGATAACTTCAGGGGGAAAAGTATCTCAGCCTAAAAGTACGTCCACCTAAATCATGGAGTAAGAGATGGGATTCCAGAAAGGGATGGCTTTAAAACAATTTTTTTTCCAGCTATAGCAGTGTCATTCTCTCACAAACCCACCAGCTGTTTTGGAGCCCATTCTTAAGTGCACAGTTTGCTCTATCTATCTGTCTATCTTATCTATTCTGTCTATCTATCTATCTATCTATCTATCTATCTATCTATCTATCTACCATATCAGAGATGTACATCTGTCATGTATAGCTGAGGCACCAAAGACATGCTTTGAGATTCTGGTAAAAAGCCAAGAATAAGTTAGACACTGCAGTACTCAGCACTTCCTCTTTTTGGTTTCATTTCTTTCCTGATCCAGAGGCACTGAAGCTATAGGCCACTATATGGATCTTGAACTAGATTACCTGCTGGAGAGATTTTCTCCACAGAGAAATGATACTCTTTTCTCACTTTCTGGTGTCCCCAATGTCAGCCAGAAAAATAATTGTGCAGCCTTTAAATTTCTACTGCTCAATTAACAAGAACAATGTCCTTGTGTCTTATATAGCACATGCATGTTATGTCCTGGATTTGGCTGGGATAGAGTTAATTTTCTTCCTAGTAGCTGGCAAGGGGTTGTGTTTTGGATTTGTTTTGAAAACCATGTTGATAACACAGGGATGCTTTAGTTACTGGTGAGCAGTGCTTACACTGAATCAAAGCCTTTTCTGCCTCTCACCCCACCTCAGCAGCCAGGAGGAAGGTGCACAAGAAGTTGGGAGAGGACATAGCCAGGACAGATGACCCCACTGATTCAAGGAATATTCCATACCATAAGGCATCATGGTCAGCAATAAAACTGTGGGAAGGTTGGTGCAGGGGCACAGCTTGGGGACTGGCTGGCCATCAGTCAGTTGCTGGTGAGAAATTGTTTTCATATGCTTCACTTGTCTTTCTTGGATTTTATTTACCCCTTTGTTATTTTCATTTTGATTACAATTTAATATTATTTTAATTTTTTAATTTAATAAATTTATTTAATCTCAACCCACAAGTTTTCTCACTTTTACCCTTCTGATTCTCCCTCTCATCCCACTGGGGACATGTGGGTTGAGAGAGAGTAACTGTGGTGCTTATTTCCTGGATGGAGTTAAACCACACAAAGGTACACATTTGGAATTTTGGCTAGTGTCTCAGGTCGACTTTAACTCTTGGCCTTTCAGTACAGAAACACTGTTAATTGAAATGAAGGACTATTTTGTGCTCACTCTTTGCAGCAAGTTGGCTCATAACCTTCCTTAGTGTTACCAGTAAAACTAGCAAAGACAGTAAAGCCTATAATTAATGCTCTGCTTTATCCAGCAAACAGCAAGGCAGCTACTGAGTGGATAAGATGGCAGCTTCATTTGGATGGCAGCTGCATTTGGGTCAGAAATGTCCCAGTATGTGGCTAACTCATGGTTAGCGTGGGAGGAGAGGGAAAGGGCAAGGCATGCTATAGTTTATGCCAAGGCCCATGACAACTAAGTTGAGAACATAACTTAAAAGTCACAAGACATTTTTCCCTAATCCTAATAACTGAGCCAGGCAGATTGGCTTTAGTGCTAACAGATGGATGTTAAGACTCTGGGTTGACTGAGATCATCAGGCCCAGATTTGATAATAGGCTCAACGTCAAGACAGAAAGACTACAAGGCGTAAGCATGCTCTCTCAGCTTATTCTTCTGTGGAGTTTTCCTCTATTCCAAGGAGAAATAAGTCTTGTGAGAGGCAAATAGGGGTGCTACTTCTCTCCGCTGAAGTATTTGTCTTCAAAGGCAAAGCAGAATACTGACACTTCTGAGAGAAAATGGTACATCAGTAGCTTCCCCAAACACACCAGTCTGCAATTGTATGTCTAGCAATTTTACCAACTTGGCAAATTCCTAATGCCTACTCCCCTCAGCACTAGTAATTGGCCTTTCTGTACAAAGGAAATAATAGTTTGACCCACAGTGTCAAATACAACAAAAAGCTATTTGTAGAGTGGTACTCTTGGTCAGAAACAGCTTGAATTGGTTCCATGGTGAGAAAAATCTTTAGGTAGTACATTGCCAACATTTTCCTTGTCACTACCAAGCAAGAGAAAGAGAAATAGTGACAGTTACCTATGCTACCTTACTCCCTGAAACAGAGTTACATCCTTAATACTTAACATTGATGTTCCTCTTGATTATTCTCTCTGGTGAAGTCCATATGGCTCAGTTCTTACGGTAAACTCAAATAAGTGGCTTCAGAGCTAAAATCCTGGGGTTTAGGGTACCGCTACAAATCCTAGCTTTTCTAGGCCCTTCCTAAATAGAAATCTGATATCCTCTTCTCATAAAGTGTGAGAGAACTAAGGCTGTGGCTAGATGTTCATGGTGGAAACTGCTGATGTAGCTTTCCCAGGGTGCTTTGTTTGCTGCTGAAGATTTCTACTCTCATTGTATTGAGGAAGACAGATTATTCAGAGGGTTCCTCACCTGCTTTAGTGCAAGCCTCCTCATACCAGCTTCAGCCACCTCTGGTATATAATTTAAGACAACCTCCTGATCCCGTGCAAGCTCTCTGTTACTTGTTAGGGTCAGGGCAGTATCTTCTGTTGTGGTGCTCATAACTTGCAGTCCACCAACATCCTCTCAGGTCTGTGCATTTGACGGAATTGTGTTAACAAAATGCTTGAGACAATTCACTATAAATTCTCCTCTTATTACCCATTCTAGTAGTTACTAGAACATTATCTATAGACTAAACAGTTCAGTTCATCCTAAGCCTTGGCAGAGGTGGAATTGTATTTGACAGGTTGATGTCAGGTGCTGTGATCCAACTGACTTTACGATTCACTGTTTCTACATAATACTCAACATAAAATTTATTTTTTAAATGTATATATATGTAAAGGAAGAATATACTGTAATCAAAGGAAAGACCAAGAAAAGAAAATGTCTTCCAAGACAAAGATTGACTTAATTTCTTCCTGTAATCAAATAGAGAAACAGATACATTCAGTGCCTCAAGCTCCAGCTGGAGGCTGTGGCACAGGGGAACGCCTGCTCAGCCTTTCCTTTCCTGTCCTGTGTCGGGACTTGCTCCGTGGGGAAGATGAAGGCAGCAGGCTCGTGTTGGCTTCCCTTCGTGGGGAAGCAAAGAAGCATGCTCGGAGCGGAACAGCTTTGCAGGCAGACTCGGTGCTGAGCTCTCGGTCTGTCCATCTCGGACAAAGCTGGGCTTGCCTGGGGCCTGGAGCGCTCCTGCCAGCCAGGGCAGCAGCTGTTGGGTCCGCAGGGACCACCCGCCCGATGCCAAGTCTAAGCTCTACAGACACTAGAAATGGGCTGGGGAGAGGGCTTGCAGATGGAGAAAGTAAGTCTCTCTCCACGCCTTTCTCTCAGTCATTCCGGAGCTTGCTGAGGTATTCCAGCCAAAAACGCAACCAAGCAAAACAGAAGTTGCGTGAGGCACAATTCCGCCGCGTTCCACCACAAAACTACGAGCGTGGCCAAAAACTGGCAGAAGGACCGGTCTGGGTTGGGGGACACCCGGCGCGGGGGGCTGCGAGGGGGAGAGCGCTCCCCGCGCTCCCTCGGCGCCACCCCGGGTCGGGAGGGGATGTGTCATCGCGGGGCTGGGCCGGGGCTTCCTCTCCGCCCGCCCTTCGCTTCCCGGTCCCATTGCTCCCCTGGGGATGGGGCTGGGCCCTGTACGCCACGTCTGCCCCCCGGCAGGGACGGAGCCCATCCCCGTGTGCGTGGCGGCTTCCCGGGGCGGGGGCCGGGGCGGGGCGGGGAGAGTGGCGCGGCCCGGGCCGGCGCCTCCGCCTTCCCTCCATCCTCCCTCCCTCTCTCCCTCGCCCACTCCCGCTGCTCCCGCTCCGTGTACGACGGCGGCGGCGGCGTCCCGCTATGTCGGCCGCCAAGCACCGGGGCTCTAAGGGGGGCAGCCCGCCCGCCGCCAACGAGAAGAGCGCGCAGCTCGGCGGCGGCGACGAGCCGCCGGCGAAGAAGCAGGCGGCGGCGGGGCACGGCCGGGGCGGCAGGCGCCGCGGCTGGGCGATGCTGCTGGGAGCCGCGGTGGTGCTGGGCGCCGCGCTGCCCGCCGGCTGGTACGTGCTGCAACTGCAGGAGGAGGTCGGGCGGAGCGCCCGGGAGGTGGAGGCCTCCGGCCGGCAGCGGCAGGAGCTGGCCGCCACCCTGGACACCGTGGTGCAGAAGGTAGCGCGGCGCCGGGCACCGCCGGGGGCGGGCGGGCTGGGCACCGTCGGGGCGCTCGGTGCTGCTCGGCGGGGCGGGGGTCAGCATCCGCCCGTGCAGGGGGACGGGCGCGGGGATTCGCCCCTTAAATAAGGAGCTGGGCAGCTGTCGGATGGCCTGGCTTGCGGGAAAGCGAACATGTCCCGTTGCCTTTC